GGGCCGGTTCCGGAGGGGCGGGGCCGGTTCCGATGCAGTTCCCCGCGGGCCCGGCCGGCCTGGCCGCCCCCCTGCTCGCCCTGCCCGCGGCAGCGGCCCTGAGCGCCGGGTGAGAGCGGGAACACCGGGAACACCGGGAACACCGGGAACACCGGGAACACCGGGAACACTGGGAATGGGAACACTGGGAACGGGGAACGGGAACCGGGAACACCGGGAATACCGGGAACACCGGGAATGGGAACACTGGGAACGGGGAACGGGAACCGGGAACACCGGGAATACCGGGAACACCAGGAATACCGGGAATGGGAACACCGGGAACACCGGGAATACCGGGAATGGGAACACCGGGAATGGGGAACAGGAATGGGAAACGAGAACAGGGGAGAGACTGGGAATGGGAACACTGGGAACGGGAGACACCGGGAATGGGAACACTGGGAACGGGAGACACCGGGAATGGAGGAGAGACCGGGAATGGGAAACAGGAACCGGGAGAGAGCCCCGGGAATGGGACAGACCCACCCGTCCTTTGGGATTCACCGCATTCCCAATCCCTGCTGGGACCCCGCCCTGCTTTTGGGATTCCCCCTTCTGGATTCCCCCTTTGGGATTCCCCCTTTGGGATTCCCCCTTTGGGATTCCCCCTTTGGGATTCCCCCTTCTGGATTCCCCCTTCTGGATTCCCCCTTCGGGATTCCCCCTTCAGGATTCCCCCTTTGGGATTCCCCCTTCGGGATTCCCCCTTCGGGATTCCCCCTTTGGGATTCCCCCTCTGGGATTCCCCCTCTGGGATCTGTGCTGGGTGCGGGCTCTGATCCCAATCCCAGGAACAGCGGAGTTTATGGGAACGGGGCTGGGGCCGTGCCCGGTGCTGGAGCGTTCCCGATCCCACAGCGGCTCCCCGGGCCCGGCCCTGATCCTGATCCTGATCCCGATCCTGATCCTGATCCTGCTGCTCCTCATCCTCAGCGGCTCCATCGGCCTCTGCCAGGACCCGCTGTACTGTGGTGAGAGCCGGGGCTGTGGGGTCTGGGGTTTGGGGTCTGGGGTTTGGGGTC